TGAGACATAATTGACATTTCTACTTTAATCAACACAATGATTCTGACATAAACATACATGTACTTGAAAAAACCCATTTTATTGATGAATAATTTTATTGCAGAAAAGAATTTCCCTCTAACAATTTTAAATATTACATTGATTAGCATTTATTGCATCATATGATATGGTCATTGAAGTTTAATATTTAAACGTGAATTGACTACAGGAACATATGATATCCTAAGCACTTTAACCTCGTTTATTATGGTTTTGAAAAGTTTAATTCTGCTCTTATAAAAAATGCTCATTGTTTGCATTTGGCAAAATGTTTATGGTTTTTATGATCCTTGTACATCAGTGTTCAAATTGGGGATAGTATGTTAGATTTGATTATGCATTCAGCTCCCAAACTGCTGGAAATATCACCTCAGCAAGCTTTGTTTTGATATTTTTAAATATGGAATTATGTCCTTTTTCTATTCAAGACAAACTCACTTCACATACTAATAATTGCCAAATCAGTCAACTGCAAACATTCCAGTTATGTTTTATGTGTATCTTACTAATAAATCTGAATGTATCGTGTAAACTTAATATATTACATCATGATTACAAGAGTCCCTCCAAGGGACGGATGCTCTACTGAGTTAAAAGAAACTCGAAGGAATTTAAAAAAGACCATTTCTTCATTATAACTGGTGTAATTTTAAACTATCTTGAGTTTCTTTAGCAAAATCAAGATTCTCCAATTAGTTGCAAGGGTGGACATATCAGATGTCAGATCTGAGCTCTCTTCATTTAGGATAGCAAGATTATCAAGACTGCATTGTGACAGCCGTACTGAATGTACAACTGGCACCAATTTTATTTAGGACCAAGCAGGAATCATGGAGAAGACCATTGTTGGAAAAAAACATGTTGATACAGGCATCCATTATGGAGGAGATACAAAATTATGAAGCTGGCCACTACAGTAGCTATATTGATGGTTAGTCATTTTCATTTATATGCCATAACTCTTTGCATGAATCTCCATGACAAAATGGATTTCCAATGCAGAACAACAGTGATAAAAAAAATTGTCAAAATGGCCATTAGAAATTAACACCATTTTATGTCAGAACAAACAAGACAATATAAGAAATCATTTAGAGAAAACCCTATTCCAAGAAGACAGTTTCTTCAGAAGTAATGATATTCTGACATCAAATTAACACCATTTTATGTCAGAACAAACAAGACAATATAAGACATCATTTAGAGAAAACCTTATTCCAATAAGACAGTTTCTTCAGAAGTAATGATATTCTGACATCAAATTAACACCATTTTATGTCAGAACAAACAAGACAATATAAGAAGTCATTTAGAGAAAACCTTATTCTAATAAGACCATTTCTTCAGGAGTAGTGATAACAAGATTTTCAATATAGCCACTTCAAACATCAGATCTGCACCATTTTTATTTAGGAACAATTAGGCATCATATGAAGTCTTCTTGTTAAAACTCTAGGTCAATATAACATTTTGTTTTAGAGAATGGGGAATAACAGGATTTTCAAGATAGCTGCTGTGGCAGCCATATATGACATCAGATTAGAACCATTTTCATTTATTACCAACTAAACTAAGGGATGAATGTGTGTTTAAAGTTTCATTGTAATCCTTCAAGTAGTTTAGAAGAAGCAGCAATAATAAAATTGTGTTAACAGACAGGTGGACAATGGATGAAAACCTTCCCATGATCCATTCTAGCCTATTGATCAGCAGAACTAAATATAACAAACAAAGAATGGAACTAACTGCTCAGCAAGAATTAATCAATTTGTATAAAACCAAACCTTACAAGTCTTTGTAAAAAATAAGGCAATCACAAACTTCTGAAACTTGACCAAGATTCACTCTTACAGCTCATAACCCTTTATGGTAAGCAAAGGGTACAAATAAGTGTTCATGGATTTTAGCTATTTTGCACATTCATTAAATATATTTAGACACCTTATTCAGTAGCAAAAGTGTCTATACTCTGCTAGCATTCCCTCCTGGGAGTGGGTTTATCTTCATAAGTCTTTTTGCTATGTCAAAACTGAACTTTCACTGTCTCATTTTTCACTGATGAAATTCAAATGTGCCTAAATAATTTTAAAAAAAACCATCATAATTTTCAAAATCTGTGTGTATAGATTCTGTCTTTGAGAGCATTTATATTGGAACTACACCACTTACCTGAATGCACTTGTATAGAAACTGCACCACTTACACCTATATTACACCTCTTCCTTTTTTTGATGGAGGCACTTTCTTTGGATTGATTCTTATGAACTGTCTGTGATCTGTGATCAAAATCTGTACATAAATTATGATTTTATTAAAGTCATTTTTCTATTATTTTTTAGTGATCATGCATCCTATAAAAAAAAACAGCTCCTTCCTGCAGTCTTTCTGAATTTCAAGGTTCTTCATTCATTTACATGGTAACTCTGGTTCACCTTTATCAGCCACTCTTTTTCATTTACTGTTTCCACTGTGGCATGTGACTCATTCACAATGACACACAAGACCAGCTCTTTCCTGCAATCTGTCTGACTTTCCAGGTTGCTTCATGCATTCATGAATCAGCTTCCTCCTGAATCCCTGGAAAAATCTTAGCATACTTGAAACCCTTTCCAAACTGTGGAGCTTATATTTAGTGTATTTGATCTACTATGAGAAAAACGACCTTCTATAGGCAACAAGGTGCTGTGAAATTATTACAGATGCTAAGTTCATATTTTCTTCTTGTTGCTGTTAATTTTTCAATGGTATCGGGTAATTTCAAGAATATATTTTTTGTTCAGAATCTTACAAATAATCCAAGCTTATTTTGCAATTCTTTTAAATAAAGGTCCTATATTTAATTTGTCTTTGCTTTTAAATTTCCTCACGTTGTTTTTGATTGTACAACACCCCAAATATCTAAAAATTTATAGATTCAGCTGTGCTAGAACCAGTGAGATCTATCTACAAACAAGGTTAGTAACTCATAATACTGTTTCAACATGCTAAGATGTATTTTCCTTGATAATTTCAATTGTGCCATTATTTATGTTCTACAAATTTAAAATTATTCTATGCTCCACAGCTGCCATTATATTCAATGCTCAGCAGCTGCACCAGTAAATATTGTTTAATCCCCCTTTAATGAGTGGTTCGGTGCTAAGAAAATTACAACTCACTAGAAGTTTTTATTTTAAAACTGTCATACATCTATGTGAGTGTGTTAGAAAGGTTAGTTTTCATTTTAGTGTTCTTGTATCCCTACATGAGTGGACTGGTGTAAAACTATGAGTAAAGTTATTATTTAAACTTGTGCAATCAATATAATATAAATAAAGCATATGTTTGTGTGCTTCTATGAGAAGCATATACTACACATTTCTATGCATTAATCCAGATTCCAGTTGCTGCCATTGACAGCCCTGCTAGAAATGTGATACTTATGAGTTGCCACACTATTGAGAAATAAAAAATTCCATTTATGACTTGTCAAAACTAATGTTATTAATAAGTCTGTTAAAATTTTTTATAATATCTAGTCTTTTACTTTCATACAGAAGAAAAGATAATTTATAAGAAACTTAAAGTGTGGCAACAACAGAACACATGCTAACTATAAAGCGTGGAGTATTAACTGTAAACCTCTGATTACATCAGATAGGAAACTGAATAAAAATTAAGTGAAATTTTATTATTACATGTATCTGTAACTTATTCATGTTACTTTAATGTTCACACTAAGTTAGCTACAATTCAACAGTAAACAAGAGTAGTATACAAGTACATTATCTGCCTTTGTTTGATAGTCCTCTATGTCAACACCAGTAGAGAGTGATTGACTATGGAGGTTATTGACTAAGTGTTTCAATTACATTTGGTCAACCACCTTTAAGTACACCACCTTTAAGTAACCTTTCTGTTCAGAAAATATTATTGCCTTATTAAATTTACTGTGACTTTATTCTTTGGCGACCAGAATCTATCAGTTATATTCTTACCATAAGAACAAGTAATCTACAAAGTTTAGTCCTGGAACTTACTCTACAACAATTGTACTTGGTACAAAACCCATTTTTCTATGAGTTACATTGCCCATGACTTTTGACCTTTGACCAAACATGCCTCTTCCATAAGCTTTGGTCAAGTTACATGGCCAAAATTAAAGTTATGTAGAAAATGTTTTTCTTTTTTCAGTCACAGTGACTTTGAAATTGGACCTCAGTCAAGATCTATTTCTTAAACCTAATTGTAAGCAACCCCCAAATTTCACTGTCAACACACAAAATGTTTGCACAGAAGGCATCTTAATTTTTCAACTTTAGTTTTAGTCTGTGATGTACAACTAAAGTCACTGCATGGAAATTGTTTCATTTTCTTTCAGTTAGAGTGACCTTGACCTTTGATCATTTAACCCCAAATAAACAGTTCCATTCCTTACCCTCAGTGCAAGCCAACCACAAAGTTTGGTCCAGGTCTGAGTTTTAAAATTAATACAGTATTACAGTGGGGGAAGGAAACCATTTTTATTTTTTCAGTCAGTGACAGCACAAGCCTGTTAATGCAAGGGTCATGGGTTCTACTAATCCCAGATCGCTGCCTTGGTGTCTTTAGGAAAGGCACATGGCTCTAACTTCCTTGTCATGATTTAGCCAACAATATGTTTCAAGTGCTATTAAAACAAAAATAGAAACAACAAAAATGTCAGTGACCTTGACCTTTCAAGTCCCAGATAAATAGTGTGAGTGTGTGTGATTTAGATTTTATGTAGCTTTTAATAATTTTTCAGTCATATTGCTATGATGTCTGCAGTGTGGCAGTTTTTAGTGATGTCTAGCACTGAGGCATCATGCTGCAGACATGTAGCATGATGTCTCACCCAGTCACATTATCCTGACACCAGGCAGACCAGTCCTAACACTAACCTCTTAATGCTGAGCACCAAGCGAGGCAGATGTTAGTACCATTTTTATAAGTCTTTGGTATGACTTGGCCAGGGATCAAACCCACGACCTCCTGCATCCAAGGCTGTCACTCTAACCACTGGGCCACTGGAGCGGTTGCCCAGATAAATAGGTTTCTTTCTTATCCAAATTAAAAGTCATTCACAAAGATTGATAAAGGTAGATGGTGTAAAGTTATTTTGCAGATTTGAAAAAGGTAACAGATTGTCTCATGGATAAGATCATTATGATATATGTTCTTCATTTTAGGAGTTGAGTAAAAAGTTATAACTAGAAAAATAATTTATGAAATATATTTAATGAATAAAACCATATAACTACATATTAACTGTAAAAATTAAAAAAATAAAATGACAATGATGTCAACATCAAGAAACATAAAAGCAGTTTTTGGAAAGTGAAAAATAATTTACTCTCAGTCCAGTCTGTGAACAAATTTATAATGAAACTCCTCTAAATGGACATTGTTGGGACCAAAGATTTGTCTATTAAATAGAGATTGTCAGTCTAAAAATGTTTGATTACCATAGTTTGCTGGAACCCCAAAATGCTGCCACTCAACAAGAGGCCAGGTTAATGAAGGGGGACAGTTTGAGGAATATTCACTGTATTCTCAAATTCTCCTTTCATATTTTCACCTAATGGAATGATGAAATATTTACTTATTTTAATTCGTTATAAAGAACTGCAGTAGGAAAAAATATCAAGTGAATGGTACATCATAAACAAAAAGACAGAATCTAAAAGAAACTTGAGGAAAATAGTCATTTAGCAGACAGGTGTGGCACATGCTCTGTACTTTGTTTTTCTACCATATAAAAGTGTATACACAGAGCATTTAAAAAAAAGCCAGGTAAAGTTCTCAACTGCCATTAATTGAGTCAAATATGAGAAAGACGTGTAAAAATGTATAAAAATGTAATTAACTATATGAACCATTTTTATCTTTGTTTAAATTAATAGCTTTTCTTTAAAAATCTACTCTTGACTTATACTCCACTTTGATTAATATATTGACACTTAAAAAAAACTTCATCATGATTTACACATATCAACAAAGTTGAAAATGACTTGTTGGATTTTATTCAGAAAAAACCAAGGTCCATAGTTGCAAGAAGAGAGTACTATTATTAGCTTTGAACTTTACTCAACACAATCAATATACATCGTGTACATGTACCCCAAAGTAAATCAATATATATGTATGTCAAAGTAAATAAATATATATAAAAGTATATCAATGTACATGAAATACATATACATCAGAGTATATCAATGTACATGTATATACAAGTAAATCAATGTATATATATATATATCAAAGTAAATCAATGTACATGTACGTTAATATACATGCACATCAAAGTAAATCAATGTACATGTAATTCAAAGTAGATTGAAGTAAATCAAGTACATATCACAGTAAATCAATATGCATCCATATCTAAGTAAATCAATGTACTTCAAAGAACTTTATTCTTATTAGTCAAGTTTGTCTTGTTCTATACATTGACTTGTATGTGAATTAAAGAGTGGAAAATAAGAAAAACAGGTCAATCTGGCCTAAATTCAGCATCTACTTAAAAACCCAAAATGTGCCATATTTGATTTGGGTTTTTGAACAAAATTATTTGTTACTTAAGCATTCTGCATTAAAAATTCAAGCTGTATAAAGAAACTTAAAAAAATAAAGAAACTAAAAAAATGACAAAAATATATAGCAAAGTGTTCAAGTTGATTGCCATAATATGTCTAGCACTTGCTGAGACTCCAAAACAAATTAAATCAAAGTCTGTAAGTGTTATACAATTTTCACAAATTCAGGCACATCAAAATATCTGCAACATATTTGCACAAGCAATCATCTTGAATGTCATATTATAAACTCTGGGTCAAGAATTATTTAAACAATGCACACTATTCACAAAATTTGCAAAAATTTTGTACTCACTTCATTTTTTAACTGTATTGTAGGAAAATTTCAAACTATTTTATACAAATGTCACTAACTAATTAGGACGTTACAAAATGTATGAATGTGTTCATGGAAAACATCCCCCACTACAGTGCCTTGAAAACTAACCTAAATGCGAAACATCAAATGTTGGCCTGCTGGACAGACAGGCAAGAATAACACAGCATGTCCTACTATTGGCATGTATTAAATAAAACATTTTTTTTTAATACTAATTAATCTTTTGAGAGCCTGTAATATTTGTTATCTTGGTAAAAATGCAAAGAAGTTAATCTTTTTATGTATCTGACATTCAAAGTATATCAAAGGACAAAGGAAAATGTAATAATGTCTAGAAATTACTTTATCTATTTGTAAAAAACAGAATTGAGTACTACAAAAATTAGCTTTAAATAATTTTTCAGTTCTTGTGAGAATCCAGAAAAACTTCACGTCATGACAAATAATTTTACAGTATCATGCATATGAGATTCTACTTAGGTTCCACCAAGTAAATACAGCAATCACTTATAATAGACTACACAATATATTGAAAAAGAAAACTGTACCACAGGCAATCCCTGGTCCTTCACTTTAAAGCACCTCTGTGTAATACACATGATCTAGTAATACATTGTGACATGAAAAACTATTACCAATCCAGTGTTATATCAGAGACCATGTTATTATACATGCCATCTAACTATCCAGTGGAGATTGGTGATTTCTCAGACTTATTGGATGGGTTTTGGTTTGGAGACTTGATGCACTACATACATATTGTAATGAATAAAATATCTATTTTTATTTTGCAACAATTGAAATGTAAGGTTATGGAAGACGATACTAATTGATACACTTATATAAGTTTCTTTGGGACTTTACATAATGATAAATGATGTAACAACAACCAAGCTATGACTCAACCAATTCTAATATGACTCAACCAACTTGAATGTTCCTTAGATATTTATCTTGTTTGATATGGCAGCTTTATTGATAAATTGCCATTATGCCTCTGTTTTTATCATTCTTCAATAGTGTAAATATTTATTTCAATCTTCTTTTTTTAAAACAGCATTTCCAACTGTTTTCTATATCGTAATATACAGTAAATTCCATTGCAAACTTAACAGATGTGCTTTCAACAGCAGCTACCATGGAATTGACTGGACACAATTTGCAATAAATCTTGTTAAATTCCTTTCTATACTGTGCTAATGGCATTAATAAGTTACAAACACTTTTCCATATAGAAATATTTGTTCATAGAAGACTATATGGTAGTATTTTTTATAATGCCTTTTCACATTGTATGGATACTTATTTAGTAATTCATGGTGAGCAAACCATGATCATTTCTGCATACTGGGCAATTAACAGTTAAATTTTTTTTATGTCACTTTGTATTACTTGACTGTATGTCTTAGAATGAGGTGTTTTGAAGTGAAGGACAACTTTAGTTAGGGCATAACTGGGGATTTGAAAAAAAAAATATTAATGAAAGTAGAAATTCTGTTCACAGTAAATAACTTTTGCCTTTAAGCTAACCTTTCTTTTGCAGCAAATAGTCTACAGGTGTATCATATTATACCCCGACAGCAGCAAAACAAGAGAGACTAGAATGTGGACCAGATGTAAATATGTTCATAGGTGTGTGTAATTTGCAACTGTGACAATATTTAAACCATATGGCAGTGTCAATACAATATTTGACCTTATGCCAAAGTGGCAACGTATGCATATTTACCCATCTTAAATTAAATAGTATTTGTTGTTGTAAAATTGAGTACCAATGTACTTTATCCAAACTCCATTCAATCATGATTGTTGAATGCAACTGTCAACAAAAAATGTTCATATGAAAATTATTGATTGCTATGGACTTTAACAATGGTGATAAACTGGGTCAAGAAAAGAGGACTTTGGGTGTAATCATAACATTAAACAGGGTAGTACAAATTTGTTTTGAACATGTACAGCTTTCATTGTGACATCAAAACATAAGACATTCAATCCTGTTTGTAGTGGATCACACAATTAAGTTGACTTCGACCAAAGATACCCACATACTTTAGCATTGATTTTCATATGTATTTCTTGATTTGTATATATATAATGACCTTCCATTGAAATATGCATCTATATGACTCAAAGTAAAATGAACAGCGACTATTTATATGAATGTGTAATCAAATTCTAAAAAGATAACACCCATTGCTGATGAAATTGGTACTGAATGACCTCTACCATATATACTAGGTTATAAGACAAGTCCAACTGTAAACTGCACAGACCTGGGTATATTAAGTTTGTGAGGAGTAATCAGTAGAAGAAAACACATAGACCCTGATATGCAGGTGCATTATGCTATAGAAGACAGATCTTTGTTGATTGCTGTTTGACTTAACTTATTAGTGAGTATATATGATACATTAGCTTGATACTGTCCTTAGTTCTGAATTAATTTTGCCTGACAATAATATGTGATGTTTGCAATATTCTTTTATTGTTTATGATTGCAAATTATATAAGTCTTAGACATTCTAAGGCATAACCATTATTGGTTCCTTGTTATTTCAATGTATACAAAATTAAAATCAACTTAAAATCAAGCAATAACTTTACCTTTCTTTGTGCCAGGACTTTTTTTATCTCTTGATTGATTTTTCTGAATTTACTTCTCTATTCTTCTTATGTAAGCAGACACTAATTTGTGTTTCCTTTCTCTAAGTAAACAAACAAATGTGAATGTTGATTCAACCAAGCATCTATGGCAAGTAGAGAACTGTCACTTTTTACATCACACATTATTATACCAAGCATCAGATTCTAATTATAGCACATCTCCTACCTTAAACTCTCATCCTCAACGAATATAAGTTAGTGGCCCTATAAAATTACTACACAAAACAGTCAAGAAATTGTACATGTACATTCTATTAGTAATTAGTGAAGTTAGTTGAAAAAAGTATACAAGTGATGTATAACCTGTTAACATTCAGTAAAAAATTTGTTATTTCAAAGAACTAAAGCAAACAAAGAGAAATCACAGTGACTCTGAGCATTTCATGACACTGGACGGAATGGACAGAAGTACTTTATTTACAGGCGGTCAAAGCCATCTTTTGAAT